CGGGCTACAACCTCTGTTTATGTGAAGAAAAATAGAAAGCGGGAGGAAACAAAACCAAACATCCCCTCTCCCCCGCTCCCCCCCCCAAAAAAGAAAAAAAATCCCGAGCCTTTCCTCCCAAATAACCAAACCCTATTGTTTCCAAGAAAGGAGGGGAAAAAAAAAAAAAAAAGAATCCGTTATTGTGGGAGCACGGAGGGAGGGGAACACCTTCCAACTCCTGAGAACTGAGCATTGCGGGGTACAGCGTGTAAAATACTCTATACGTGAAGCAAGCTTTCTTTTTGTTTTCCTTCACTGATCTGACTTTATGAGATCTTGTACGCGAGGAATAGCTGTGCAAACTCATGAGGAAGGACAAGCAGACAGGTGAATGACAGGCGAACGACAGATTAAAAAAAAAACAACAGAGAAAACAGTTTGTGTGTGCTAATTTTGGCTGACTCTGCGATACTACTTCAGGAGGCAGAGGCGGTAGGAAAAAAAGTAAATTTCATGGCAAAAATCAAGCGGAAGGATGGGGCGTGGGCTCCGGGGGGCAAGCAGTGCGGCGGGGAAGAGGCAGGACGACCAGGCCGGGTTGCCGGCTGCTCTGCCCGGCGTATGCCGTGCAGGATAGCACCGCTCCGTTATAACCCACCGGGGACATCGTTCGCCTCGTTTGGTAACGCGGGAAACACCCTCACATTCCTCAGCTCTCCCTCCCCCCGAGAGATGCTGTAACGTTGCCAAATGCGCTCGGAGCAGGCAGATCCGGCGACTCCCCATCGGTAAATCTCCGTCCTCCCTTTGCCCAGCATTTCCGACGGAGCACCGAAGCGGGGGACGCGCACCCTGCTCCCCGAGTCGTCCCTGACGGCCCCGGGCAATCCTCGGCTGCAAGGCGCCCACGCAAGCGTCCGAGGCACAAAGTCACGGGTTAAAGCCGTCTCCGTACTGGAGATGGGGCCGGACGACCGGACGAGAAGTCAGCGTCCCCCCTTCCCACCCCAGGAAAGCCCGGCAGCCACCTAAAAGAACTTCCCCAACTCTTTCTGGGGAGTTGAGCTGTAAAATTGCTACAGAGCGGGTGGGTCAGGCTTGAAGGACGGAAGGGGAGCAGGCACGAAAATTAGCCTGTAGTCAGGGGGGCTAGGGGCGGGGAAGCCCGCGCAGGGAGGCGAGGGGCCGGCCGGCGCG